TCGGCCACTGTGATTGGCAGTTGCTCGGCATTGGCGCGCGGGGCGGGGAAGAGTTTAGGGCGTGTGATTGGCTAATCGTCCCCTTGTTAAATATGGCACACGATTGTTGCCAACACTATTGGTAGCTCGCGATTTTGGTAAATCCATATCTGATTCTCTCTGTTTATATTCGTGAAAAGCGAGCGTCGGACCTTTTCGTCTTATCCCCAACAAGCTTGCCATTCTTAGCTTGCGATGGCACTCCTCTGAAAATTTCAATCAAGCTGCGCTGGGGTTACCCTGTCATTTAACGTGAAGCAAAGTCCCAGCAAAGTTGACCCGTAGCAAGCAAGCACACGAGCGCCAAAGGGTTTCTTACAATCTGTAATTTTTTTGTTTTTTTCTCGTCCTTTTTTCTCTTTAAATTTTATTTATTTACTTTTGCTTTTAATTCCTTGCTTTGAGGCGTCGTTTGTTTTGTTGTAGATATAGATAGCAGAAGAAATCTTCGATCAATTTACCTCGACGAGGAGCGCACCACCTTCGTCCATCCCGTCCACCGGTGGAATTGAGGCTGGGCTGGCGCGAGAGTGGCGACACAGAAAACACAGCTCACGCTCTCGCACGTAGTTCCCTTCATGGCCATGTAGCAAGCATCTTAAATCGAATCTTTCCAGTTCCCTTCATGGCCATGTAGCAAGCATCTAAATCGAATCTTTCAACACCCCCACACCAGACGTCGTGTAATAGTGTAATCGTTTCTATTGGCTGCCGTCCTTTGCTGCGCCCTAAAACAGAGCCTCCCCCTGTTAAAAGCCGGTGAGGCGCGGCCACCGGTAGGTACAGTGGTTGATCTTTGTGCCGAGTGGCCAATCAAGAGAGCCGCCGCCAATTGCCGTCCAATGGGAGCCGCGTTGGCCCTTTGAAACGAACCCGGGCCCGCCACGTGGCACGCATTACCTGAGCGTGGCGGCGAATCTATCCTGATGCTTTTTTCCCGCCAGAGAAGGAGTGCCTTCGGTCGGATTCCCCAAAATATTCGGGGTGGATCAAGGGGGGTAAAAGGGCAAGTAAACCCGCTTGGTTTTTTAACTCATTTTTCTCGGCGTATATTTCTTTCAAGCCCTCGAATGAGAAAGAACTGAGCGAGAGAAGAGTGAAGAGCGTTGGCGCTCGTTCTTGACGGCTATGGCCGATCGGGTCGTGAGGTCGTGGGTGTGCGGCGGTCTCATCGGCGCGGGGGCCTTCGGTAGCGTAAATTTGGCGGTGGACAACGAAACAGGGGATCTGTTCGCGGTGAAATCGACCGAGTGTAGCGGCGGGCGGTCCAGCGATGGCGCGCTGCTGGCGCTGGAGAACGAGTTGTCGATCCTCCAGAGCCTCCAATCCTCTCCCCGGATCGTCAAGTGCCTGGGATCGGCGTGGTCGAGTTCGGCGGAATCGGGGCAGCCGGTGCGCAGCGTCTTCCTCGAGTACATGCCCGGCGGCAGCATCGCCGATCTCATGGCCAAGCTGGGCGGCAAGCTCCACGAATCTCTGGCGAGGATCTACACCCGGGGGATCCTCGAGGGCCTCGAGTTCCTCCACCGGCGCGGGATCGTGCACTGCGACATCAAGGGGAAGAACGTCCTCGTCGGCGCCACCGGCGTCAAGCTCGCGGACTTCGGCGCCGCCAAGCGCCTGAGCGGCGCCGCCCACTACCAGCACCACCAGCAATCGCCCATGATCAAGGGGACGCCGCTGTGGATGGCGCCCGAGGTGGTCCGGCAGGAAGAACAGGGCACGGCCTCGGACATCTGGTCGCTGGGATGCACGGTTCTGGAGATGATCACCGGCCGCGCGCCCTGGGGCGATGTCAAGCACACATTCTCGGCGCTCTACCGGATCGGGTGTAGCGAGGAGCTGCCCGAGCTGCCGTGGTGGCTGTCCGAGCAGGGCAAGGATTTCGTGATGAATTGCCTGAGGAGGGATCCCCGGGAGCGGTGGACGAGCGCCCAGCTCCTCCAGCACCCATTTGTGATGGAGGCCATGGAATCGCCATCGCCGTCGCTGATCGCGGCGCCGCGGCGAGCTAGCGCAGGGGATTTGGACAGCGTCCAGATTACCAAGCTCCTGGCGGATATGCCGGTGGTGGCGGAGGAGGAGGAGGAGAAAGGAGTCGCGGAGGCGGCGGAGAGGCGGCGATTGGTTCGTCCCAGATTGGAAGTTTGCGGCAACTGGGATGATCAGGGTCACGGGAGCGATCCGGGGATGAGCCCGAGCTCCGCGGGGGGCAAGTGGATCGTTGTGCGATCGCCGCAAGGGGGAAACAACTGGAATCTCCCGGACCCATTCAATCTCCTCTCGGATTTCGAGTCCGGGGAGGATGGCGAGGTTGTCGATGCCAGCAGCGATGATGATGAGCGCAAAGCGGTGGAAGTGGAGCTCGAGGTGGAAGATCAAGAGGAAGAGGAAGAAGAAGAAGAAGAAAAGGGTGTGAGGAGTTTGGAATCATCGCCGGTGGATCATGCCGAGGAAGAGGCCTCTTCTTCCTCGACTTCTTCGTCTTCTTGCGGTTTGGTTTTCTGTTACGAGTTTTGGGCGTGGACGAATCCACAACCGAAATTCTACCGCGCGAGTTTGCTCCAACAAGAAGGCCACCGGATTGGATTCCCCCCCGGCTCCTCCTCCTCCTCCAGATCCGATCGCCGCCCTTGGCAATGCGGGAAAGATCCGCCGCCCCGGCGAAGGAAGAAGAATCGATCCAGGAAGAAGAAGAAGAAGCGGAGGAGGCGACGAGGGAGGTGGATCATTGCTGCCGCTGACGGCGATGATGAGCTAGGATTGCCGGATTCATGCGTGGAGTGCAAGAGCCGGAAGCGTCTCGCATTGTTCTTGCTTCTGTTTGATTCCTCGTCAAGAAGATGGAGGAAGAAAAAGAAAAGTAAAAGAAAATCCTTGTCTTCCAACCGTAAAAACAGTAGTACTCTTTGGCCCTCCCCTGTTTTTTAGGGTTCTTGGCGCGTGTTTGGTTTCGCGCGCTTTGGCGCGTGCGAAGGAAGGGATAAAACCGCAATCGCAAAATTTTCCTCTGCTCGGATTCTGCGCGCGGGCGGAGCTGTTTCGTTCTCAGATCTCTCAACCTGAAGCGCGCAAGCGGCCAGCCCGCGCTTTTCCGCCTTTAATCTTTTTCCTCTGCGACGAGAGCGAGAAACTTTCGCTCTCCCGGGGCCTCGCAACTTGCACTTGCACTTTGCGCACATCTCATTCGCGCACCTCTCGCTCGCCGCCGTGTCACGAGTGTCGCTATAAGGCTCTGCGCGCTGCTGGTACCATAAAAACTCGTAACGCTAGCCAGGGAAACCAACGCACCGCTTTTGGGCGATGGCAAAAAAGCGATACGAAGCGAGCGAGCGAGCGAGCGAGCGCTGCAAGCGAGCTCTAGTTGGCTTTGCTGGCCTTTCGGTTTTCGCTTTTGTTTGCTTGGCCCTTGGCGAGCGTGGCTGGCAATTGGCTCGCTCCTTTTCCCCTTGCTTGCCTCATGAGGAAACTGCGATCCAGCCATCATCATATCACGCCCCGCCACCGCCACCGCCGCCCCCCGGATTACGCGACTAAGCTAACGCGACTGCGCTTGCGCTTGCTTAGCGACGGTGCTTTGGATTTGGATCATCCAGCGAAGCCTCCAGTCTTGTTTTCTTCTCATCCATATCGTGCTCTGTCGCATACACTGCTCTGTTTTGCTGCTGCTTCTGTAACCTACACACGCACCAAACACAGCGAACCTGTTAGCTCTGTCTGTCTGTCCCTCTCCCTTTGTCCATTTTTTTATTCCTCTTCTTCCAATTTCTTCCTCAAGTGGAGTGGAGTTTAGCTACAAAGATGGAGGACAGGATCAAATCTATATATCAAAATCAGAGCAAGGAATAGCTCTCTCTCTCTCTCTCTCAAGTGGAGTAGAGTTTAGCTACAAAGATGGAGGACAGGATCAAATCTATATATCAAAATCGGAGCAAGGAATAGTTCTCTCTCTCTCTCTCTCTCTGTGACGGAAGTCCTCCCTTCCTCTCCGGAGTTTATAGCGTTGGCTGCGTCGTCCAGTCCATTAATTGGGCGTCGTGATCATCCGGATCGATGTCAAGCGCTGCTGCTGCTGCCCCTTGTGCCTCAGGAGCAGCCGAAGATGGAGCGGGCGCGGGTAGTACTTGGTTCACGCGGCTGACGAGCTCCTCCACTTCCTCGTCTGTGAACCTGTTTTGGATATCCTCGACAATCTGTTTGACAGAGCTGGTCGTCACTGCTCATGCTTGGAGACTCTAAACAAAGATATGTGAAAATTCCTGTCGATCCATGTCTAGTGGCTGTCTCGTGCATGAACCTTGCATTTCCTGGATGCAAATTGCTACTGATCTTCCAGAGAGGGAGAGAGAAAGAGAGAGACGAGACGAGACGTCTACCAAAGAGATACCAGAGATGAGACGATACGGCTACTAGGGAGAGAGAAGCAAAGACGTCTTACCAGAAGAACTTCCACCGAGAGAGAGATCTACCAGAGAGAGAAGGAGAGCGAAAGATGAGACGATACGTCTACCACAGAGAGAGAAAGATCAACCAGACAAAGAGTCAGAGAGATGAGTCTACCCAGAGAGAGAGAGAGAGATCTTTCTCGTCTGTCTCTAAGGAGCGAAGAGACGTCTTACCAGATGAACTTCCACAGCGGAAGCTGGGCGTAAGTTCGCGACTTGCAAGCGTTCCGGCCTGAGTAGCCGGGCTGCCAGGGGCTCCTTGGATAGCTTCGCCAAGCTCTCTCGGGACTGTGTGGCAGCGGGCGTGTGGATGAGATAGTCGTACACCTAGAAGCTCGCAAAAGCCATCGATCGGTCAGTGCTCTCTAATTCTCGTACTCACACAAGTTCTGTGGCTTTCTTTACCTTGAGCTCGGACTGCGTTACGGTACTCACAGCTCCCGCAAAACCCTGGTCGGCTCCTCGCTTGCGCAGCAAATCCAGCACCTCGAGGTTGCTGAGGATTCCAGTGTGCGCCTCGATGCTGCCCAACAGCGATTCAAGCCGGTCAAACCCACCACACGATTCGCAGCTTACATTTTCATCGCTAGGCCTTTTGCGCTCAAGAACCCTAAATCTTAAATTTTTTTAGGGTTTATGGTCATAGCAGCGCGGGAGAAGAAGCGATTGCGCGATGCGGTCGTGCGCATTGCCGCTGCCTCCGATGCGCGCAGCTTGCCGCTCCTGGAGCGCTGCATTTCTCCGCTACTGCGGGTGTCCAGCTCGGTGTACGCTGCAGTGGTGCGCGCCCGGCGAATGCTCTACGATGCAGGAATTTTTCGGGCAACGAGGTAATCGAATTGCTTTTGCTCCTAGTTTCGATAGAGAGCTTGCCCTTCCATCCAGACTGCCGGTGCCGGTTGTGAGCGTTGGAAATGTGACTTGGGGCGGAAATGGGAAGACACCCATGGCGGAATTTCTTGCATGGTGTTTCGTTTACGCTGGAATCAATCCAATTGTTCTCACAAGGGTAAGGGTACAGCCTTCTAGTTTCGTTTTTTCCAGCATTCATCTTGCTGGAACTGAGCAGGGGTATGGAGGCGGGGATGAAGCTCGAATGCTGGCGAAGCATTTTCAAGGCTCTCCCGTCAGGCTTGGAGTTGGAGCTGACAGGGTGAAATCCGCGCTTTCGATTCTGGAGCAGTGTGGCAAGCTGGACACGGCCAGAAGAAGATCGCTTGCCAAGTTGATCGACTTTGGAGGCAATCCACCGGCTTGGCCTAGAAACTCTGAGATTGGAGTTGCCATTCTTGATGATGGTATGCAGGTTTGTTTGCTTAAGTTCGCATAGACGAGGTCTCACTTTCCTTCTCTTCTTTTCTCCTTCTCTTTGGCATTTGACAGCATCTCAGGATAGCAAGGGACGTTGAGATTGTCATGGTGAATGCCGTGACACTGTTTGGAAACGAGAGGATGATCCCTTGGGGTCCTCTGCGTGAACCTCTTGATTCTCTACGACGAGCCCAAGTTATCGTCGTTCACCACGCAAACCTTGTAAGCTCCAAACCTCGGTTCTTTCAGTAACGAGTACTTTTCTTTCAGGTCTCGACAGAAAGACTCGGAGCCATTGTATCCATCCTGGAAGGCCATTTGGATGGATCAAAGCCAGTTTTTGCCTTCTCCGAGATGGCTCCGCAACAGTTTTTCTGCCCGTCACAAGATCGATCGCTTGCATTGTCTTCTGTCGAGGGTGCCGTGGTTGTTTGCATCTCCGGTGTGGGATGCCCGGACTCCATGTCTCTCTGCCTCGTTCAGGTATCACTAGTTTACCTCGAATCCTTGGCGATGACAGAACTTCGTTTATGGATAGCTTGGAGCTTCGGAAGTTCACAGACTGGATTATAATGATCACCATATATTTGAAGCGGAGGTTTGCTGATTTTTTCTTAGTATTGTCTAACCATGTTCACTGATTTCGTGGCTAACTTCCAGGACATGGTGGCTATGGAGGATAAGATTTTAGAGCTGAAGAAAAGCACTCGCGAGGTCGTAGTTGCTGTAACATCTGAAAAGGATTACTTGCGACACCCCCAATTGTGGAAGCGTCACGAAGTTTTGGTGCTGTGCTCGGCTCTTAAGGTGATAAATTCGCGAGATTTCATGGATTTGCTCGCGAATACCATGGCCAAGTAGGAAAAATTCGATTTTTACATTGAGGATTTAATGTGAGCCGTGCGATTCATCCATTTGAAAAGATTCTCTTTTACTCGGAGGTTTAGGGCTTTTGGGCCCATGGCTAGGTCGGGCCGGGAAATGGAGGCTGGATGAATCGCGAGGTACGCAATGGCGGCTTGAGCGCTCATGAATGCGGAGAGAATGGTGATATGCCGCGAGCTGCTGCTAGCGAGACGGCTCCTCGGGCATAGTTTTAATAGTGCGCGATTCGGCTATAGCGGCTTGCGATTCCAATCGAGCGTAGTAGCGGCCGAGTGTAAGATTTCTTCGTCGGATGCGGCGGATAGCGCTAGAAAGACGCCTGGGGATTTTTTGCCGGAGGATGGCCGTGTAGGAGACCTGGTAGTGGGCGAGATTTTGAGGGAGGCCTCGCAGGAACAGAGAGAGATAAAAGAGAATGCTAGAAGTTCGTCGTCCAAGAAATATGGAGAAGTTTCTATAGATCAGAAAGCTGTGGAGCAGGCTTTCGACTACTTTGTGGTGATCGATTTCGAGGCAACGTGCGACTCGACCGTGTTCTTCCCGCAGGAGATCATCGAGTTTCCTTCGGTCCTGGTCGCGGTGCATTCTTTATCAGTGGAGGATAGCTTCCAGACGTATGTCAAGCCCACATTCAATCCCCAGCTCACGGATTTTTGCAAGCGGCTTACCGGTATTGAGCAGACCCAGGTTTCGATGCATCACCCTTCATCTTTGCTCGTAGTTTAGTTCGCAGTTTGCTTGTAGTTTATTTCATCTTTGCTCGTATTTTAGTTCGTTTTGAGCGTAGTTTAGTTCGTTTTCCTCGTAGAATAGTTCGTTCGTTCGTTCGTTCGTTGGTAGTTTAGTTCGTTTCTTCGTGTATTTTTTCTATCCGTGCTCACGCTATAGTTTTTTTCTTTCTTGTCCAGGTTGATAATGGAATGGCTTTGGCCGAGGCTTTGGTCAAGCATGACAAGTGGCTTGAAGATAAAGGCGTCAAGAGTAAGAGATTTGGGGTGATAACTTGGACGGACTGGGACTGCAAAGTCATGCTCGATTTTGAGTGCCGGTTGAAGGGTCTGACGAAGCCATCCTACTTCAACAAGTATGACGCCAGTGCTTGGATCTTTCCTTTCCTGAGCTTACTTTTTACTCTTTGCAGGTGGATAAATCTCAAGTCTTGTTTCCAGGAGAAGTTTGGCGACAAGTTCAACTTGAAAAAGGCTGTGCAGCATGCCGGGCTGCAATGGCAAGGGCGAGAGCACTGTGGTCTCGATGACGCGAAGAACACCGCCTCGCTTGCAATGGAACTCGTGAAACGCGGGATGCAGATCGGGTTCACCCAGCATCAGAGCTCCCGGAAGCCAGCCATCACGAATATCAGCTCGGAGTTCATGCCAAAGCTGAAGAAAATCCTCGAGGCTCTTCCACGCAGCAGTGACATCGACGAGACGAGCATCACCGTCGGCGCAGATAACCTTTGCTACTGCGGGGTAAAGTGCAAGACGAGACTTGTGAGAAAGGCCGGGCCGAACCAAGGCAAGTTCTTCCTGTCCTGCGGCAACTGGACGCTCACCGAGGGTGGCAAATGCACGTACTTCGAATGGATGAATCCTCCGGAGCAACACTCGCCATCACCCGCAAAGTCATGACATCAACATGGTATGTCCGTCTCAACTTTCATGTTTCACTTTAGATCAAACTTCCTTCTCCAGGATCTCGCAAAGTTCACAACCAAATGGTATGAGTATAAACATTTAGAAGTTTTCTGTACAAGTTCACTTGGAACTTTCTTTCCAGGATCCCGTGAAGCAGGAAAACAGAAGGAAACCAAATGGGGTATGTCACAACCTTCAAAGATTCACAAGTTTTTTCTCATTCCTTCAAACCCACCTATCCTGTATCTAACTTTTTTTTCGTTACTTTGGCGAAACTCTATATATCTTAGAATCCCGTGGAGCACTGCTTGAGCCCGGGGCTCCACACAGCCGGCAGCAAAAACTTCCTGCCATCCAAACCTTGCGCATTGTAGCTACTCCCGCTGGTTTTATCGACGAGCAACTCTCCAGGATACCCGGGGTACGACCCCGTACCGAAGATTCCCGTACACGCCGTACCGGACTCTAACGGGACGCTAGCGTCACCCTGGTAGTAACCATCGCCGAATGGATTGGTGGCGGCGCCGGCCAGCATGAGCGCCAGGTTGATCACCATGCCGTCCATGCCCACGTCAGCATTTGGCGGGACGAGTGGCTGGCTATCTCGGGGTCCGTACTGGGGTAGCGCGAATGGCCAGGCGCACATCCCCGGGCACTGGGTGGCCGAATTGCCCACCCAGGCGTACGGAAGCCGGGGTCCTCGCGTGGCCAATGAGCCGTTCAGGTAGGAGTGGGTGGCGCAGCTGTCCATGCAGAAGCGCTCTACCGCCACGTCGGCGGCGGTGAGGAGGACGTAGAGGGATTTCTGGTGAGCTGGCAGCTTGGCACTGGCCAGCGCGGTGGCGATTACGCGCGGAATGTCGCTGCGGTGGAGGCTCTTCCCCAGCGGAATGCCCACCGAGATCTGACCGCCCAGGCGCACCGAGGATTTGACGCGGTCGGATGCGGCGTCCGTGTAGGTGGAGATTATTTTCCAGAATCCGTACGTGGACGGCGAGGCCGTGTTGGATGCGTTGAAGGAGTGGAGGAAGTCGACGATGATGGATTGCTGGGCAGGCGTGAAATCGCCGTACCAGACGAGGAAGACCATGAGGCAGCCGCGGCCGGTGAGCAATCGCCCGCCGTGGTAATCGAGGACGAGCGGCGCGGTCGGGACGAGCTCCTGGAGCTGGCGAGCTGCGCGGCGATCGATCGAGGGGGCGGCGCCGGCGCTGGCCGCGATCGCCAGTAGCAGCAGGAGCGCGAGCTTTGCGACGATCGGCATATCCGTGGCAGGAGAAATCGATAGAATTCAAGTATTTCTTGCCAGAAGATCGATTGGAATCCCTGGACAGAAGGGAGAGAGAGAGAGAGGAAATGTAGGAATTAAACAAACAACGAGCGAGCTCGTCTTCCCTGCAGCGATTTATATACCTCGAGACAAAGCGCCACGCCACGAATGTAGCTAAGCTAATGGCGCTTTGTCGCGCAGTGGAGCAAAGAGGAGGAGGAGGAGTGGTGCGTCGGCGCCAGCCATAGCTTAGCTTCCATCACACGCCCAGGAGCCCTAAAAGTAAGTTCCTGGCATTCGAATTTCTCGGGGAGGCCAATGGATGTCTGACACCTGTTCTGGCGCCATGGTGAATGCCACAGTAGGAAAACTGTAGCGTCGAGATGGAGGCCAGTTGTCACGGGGGACACGTAGAGCGCGATCGGGCCGCCCGTTACCCTGCGCGTGGTTTTTCAATGATTGCTCTCGGCGAGCTTATCGACACCAGCTGTCAGGCGGATCGCTGACGTGGAATGGGGAATATCCTTGCATTCAAAGTTCAAAATTTTAAAAACCTTTTTGCCGGGAAAGAAGTAATTCTAGCGATTGACTGATTCGAGAAGCGAACGTCATCAAATTCGATTCGATCGAGAATAAAAGTTGGCTTGCCAAATTTTCCTGGTCATGGATGATTCGAGTGACAATGATTGATCCATTGGTTTGGGATCAGCCAGCTCCCGTGAGCCCGAAACTTCATGGTTTTCTGATCTCATCGGATCAGAAGAGGACAGCATTTGTTTGTTAGGTGCATCGTCCGATTCGTCGTTTCTCTGGGTGGTCCAATCTCGTCGCCCGAAAGTGTCCTGGGATATTGCCTGAAGACCTTCGCCTCGAACTCGTTTCATTGGCAAAGGGAGGTCTAACTACGGAATTCGTTTTCTATTGATCCCTCCACTTTTGCTTGACACTCACTTGACACCAGCCGTACTAAATTGGTCCGATTGACGAGGGAGGATGGGTCCGGACTTTGTGGCTTGGATTCGACACTAGTGTCATTCAATCAAGTCAGCTCCACTCAATCATTCAAGCCCGTGTAGCATGGCTCATTCGTAGAAGGACACATCAGCTTTGTGCAAGTCCTTGTTGTTGGAGTGTCAATTTCCGTACTGGATTGGTTCTTCTTCTTTTGGTAGTGTTAGTGCCTGCTGCGGTGCGAGTTGATGTTTTCACCCTCAAAGGGTGTCCTATGAAACTCTAGGATGATAAAATTCTACATAGTGCTCTGGAAATCATTCCTGGAATCACATGATTCAACGTCAACTTTCGGGCAGCTTGTGAAGCTGGCATTTGGTTTAGGATCACGAGGAACAGCCAATCAGCAAGTTTGCTGCTCTTGAATCATGGTATTGTTCTGTCTGTGCAACCCACTTGTGGAGATGACGCCAGGACCAAGTTCAATGGTAAGAAGAAGATTGATAGCGTACTGAGGTTCATGGCTCGTGCAAACCCTGCTGGCATGGCCAGTCGTGTGCGTTGAGCCGGGGAACTGTCTAAACAGCTTATCATGGCAGGCTTCCAGCAGATATCGGACGACAGTGACGACATCAATGTCCATTATCCAGTAAGTGCCATGAAAAGTGGTGCAAGCTGTACCTGTGTCAAGTTCCTTAGTGTGGGGATTCAGCGTTGTTCCTCTTCCTTTGTAACTCCTATGAATCTTGCTATAAGAATCTTGATTGTAGAGTGGAAGAAGTTGCATGATAAAACCTTTAAGATTATAGATTGACCCTAGATTGGCTTCTTGATGCAACGGATGGCATACTTGTGATGTAATTTACAGGGTTGATCTCAAGGTGATCTCTGGCATTGCAAGGGTTCTATAAGCTGGAAGCTGTTGAAAAAGAGTCGGCGATCTCAAATTGCTTATTCACTTTAGGAGCTCGTGCTCAAAGGTTGATGCTTTGGGATTTGGTCAAGAATGAGAGCCGTTTCTTTGTTAGGTGCGTCGCACCGTTCGTCGTTTCCATGGTGGTCCGGGATATTGCCTGAAGATCTCAAGTATTTTAATGACTTTGCCGTACTATAACTCGTTTCATTGCAGAGGTGTTTTTCTATTGTTTCACATGCCGTACTCACTCAATGAAAGTCGTGAATCATTCAAGTCCCTGTAGCTCTGCTTCTTCATGGAATGAACCCATCAATTCCTTTCTTGTTGGAGTGTCAATTTCCGTACATGGTGGATCCACCTCGAAATAGTACTTCGGCCAATTTTCTCAAAGTGCCCCTGGAAAATATTCCAGGAATTCACATGATTTAACATCAGCTTTCTGGCAACTTGGTAGGCTGGCACTTTGTTGGTGTGTCAATTGTGTTTACGCTCACGAGGGATGCATGCAGCAGCCAATGGGGTGGTACCAGCACTGGCTCTTCTGAGGGTCTTGATTCTCAATATTTATGGGCTTCTATAAGAGAAAAGAGGCAAAATATCTTTACCAAGATCTTGTAGACCGCGCAATACTGCTTTCCTGCTAATGCCGGTTGGTGTGGGGTTTTGGCAAGAAAATACTATCCATTATCCATGGAATGCACCGTTGACTTCTTCGGACAGTGCTTTGACCATAACTTTCTTCTGCTTGGTGTGAGCGAGATCACAAAATCCTTGAACACGGCTATGGGCTGGTGTTTCTTTGTCGCTTTCCCAATTTCCTTTTTAACACTTGTGCACAGCGCCCTGTGTGTTCTTTGCTGGAATCACGCAATAATGTAATGCGAGGTGGGCATTGGGAATCACAGACAAAGGCAGTGATCGATCCGATCAGCAAAGCAAAGCCAATCTTATTCGACTGATTGCGAGCAATTGTTTGGAAGGCAGCTCTCTTTCTATATGTTAGATCCGTGGTGCTGAAATACCACCCGAAATGTTTCAAACTGTGTCGGTATAGATGTGACGAGGGGACCAGATCACCTTTAGATAGTAATCCCCTCCAAAGAAGCTTAGAAAACACAAAGCTTTCTTCTGGAAGGATGGTGCTGGTGGTCCTCATCTCTGCTTGACAAACAGTTCCAACTTGTTTTGAGAAACCCAAAGTAGAAAAAACTATGGATCTGGCCCAGAGCTTTGCTGGGTGTCCAAGCAACAACAGAGATGCCGTCTTCGAGTAATGCACTACTACTATACTACATTGGGAACTGGACACTGCGAGAATAAAAGAACAGCACCACATTCTTTTCGTTTTTATTGCCTTTGGTATTAGAAGATACTTTCCTCCCTGGTGTCACTCTTTCCACTTTTTTCTTTCTCCGCGATTTGTACATTCTAAACATGTTATGAGCGATCCTCTCTCTCAAGTTTCGTGTAAGATCTATAGCTGATCTATAGCTGAAGAAAGTTTCTTAGATATGGAACCTGCGTAGATTGATGGATGGAGCTCGAGGTTCTCGTCACGAGGAAGGATAAGCGCAGGAGAGAGTGGAAGGATTCCACAGCGCGGGCAGCAAGAAATGCCTGGCATTGCTGCCCCGCGCGTTGTAGCTGGCCCCGGTGCCTGCATCGCTCAGGAGCTGGCCGGGGTAGCCGGAATATGCCCCCTGCCCGAAGATTCCCGGGCAGGCGGTGACGGCCTCGAGGGGCGCGGTTGACGGGCCCTGGAAGTAGCCCGTCCCAAACGGGTTGGAGGTGGCACCCGCGACCATGGCCGCGATGTTGATCACCATGCCGTCCACCCCGACTCCATTGGGCGCCACCAGAGCCTTCGTGTCGGGTCCTCCAAAATCCTTGGGATTGGCATACGGCCACGCGCATTTGCCCGGGCAGCGCGAGGACGAGTCGCCAATCCACGCGTAGGCGATGCTCTTGCCGCTGGCGGCCTTGAGAACTCGATGCGATGCGCACGACTGGACGCAGAATCCCTCCACGTCGATGCCCGCCGCGGTGAGGACGAGGTAGAGCGCCTTTGGATCGGTCGGGAAGGCCGCGGATTCCAGCGACTTGGAGAGGAGTGACTCGAGATCGGCGGGCTTGAGGCTCCGGCCCAGCGATGCGGCCGCGTCGTCGGTGTGTCCCGCGTAGCGCAGCGATGGGAAGATCGAGGCGCCGGAGGCGTCCTTGTAGCCGGAGGTGATCTTCCACCAGCTGCTCACGGTGGTGGCGGGGTCCTGGAAGGAGGCGAAGAAGTCGGCGATGGCGGACTTGTGCGAGTCCTGGAAGTCGCCATACCAGATTGCGTAGACGTTGAGCGATCCAGCGCCGGAGAGGAGCTCGCCGTTGTGGTAGTCGAGCACCAGCGGCGGATCCTTGACGAGCGCGCTCAGGTGGCGGCGATTGGCGATGCCGCGAGAGGCCGCGCAGGGATTGACGAGAATCGCGAACGCGGAGAAACAGAGCAGTAGCGAGATCAAGAGCATTGGGCGATCGAGCAATCGCAGGGCAGCCATGCTAGAGGAATGCTAGAGGAATTTCTTTCCCTCCTCGATCTTCTCCTGGTGGAGTGGTCTGATTGATCGGAAGGATGGAGAAATCTCGAGAAACCTCTGGGGTTTTAGAAGAGGAGAGGGAAAGTGAGGAAGAAGAGGAAGGTGGTGTTTATATACTTGTGACATGGATGATGACTGACTGGCGGTGAGCTGGCCGGGCCGGGCTGGCAGCATTGACGGGCGGGACGGGCGGGCTGACGGGCGCGCGAACGGACGGGCGCGGGAGGAGAAGCCAAACCGGACGGACGGACAGGATTGAGTGGAGCAAAGCGTGCCACGGCTGCTCCTCGGGCCACGCGTCAGGCGATAGCGCCGCCGGATGAAGGAAGGTGGTGGGAAGGAAAAGTATGGAGCTTGATGAGAAAATATTTATTAGTAGTGGGGCTCTCGCTTAACGCTAGCTGTGTTGATAGCTATTAGCTGCGACATTGATTGGGATTTGATTGATGTACAGGGTATGATCGTCGTCGGCCAGGGAGGAACACCAAGAACAAAACGCTCGAAACTTCAACGTCCAAATTCTCGAGGAAATATATTAATCGTATTGGTGAATGATGGCGATGGTTAATCCATTCTTCCTCTCTCGTAGAACGAATGAATGATTGTTTACTAGAGACAATACAATGGTAGGATGGCGAACAAGTTTGCGAAGAACAGCAAGCAAACAAACCGGTAAAAGTCCCAATTTTGTAGGCGTGATTTCTGACACTAAAATCGTCTGCCTGTGTGACACGCTTTTTATTCCTCGCTTCGAATCATGCACAGTACACAAACAGCGGGCGGAGCTACCGTGCAAGCGCAGAAGCTTTTCTCTCGCTCGTCCCACGCCCGCAAAAAGAACTTATTACGTGATCGAAGTGGTTTCCTCCACAGTCGTTAGTATACACTCGAAAAAGTGAAGAAAACCAAAACAGAGAGAACCTGGCTTTCGTCGGTTGTTCGTCGTGGAAAAGAAGAGAAGTTCCCCCTCCAGTCCATTCCCTGGCAACTTTGTTTGGTGGCTGCTGCTACGAGATTTCTTGCTGCTCGGGCTAGCAATTGAGGCCGCATTGTTGCAAGTTGGGACCTCGAACCTTGGGCAGGAAAGGATCGATCCGGACCCAGAGGAGCGAGAAGATGGAGGCGAGCAGGATGGACCAAACGATGACGATGGTCGGGGTGCGGTTCTGGCGTCCCATGAGACCCTTGAGGAACGGGTATAGATGTACGATGACCCAGAAGGCGAAGAAGATCTTGCCGAAGAGCGGACCCCATGACTGGTAGCCGTTGTTGATTGCGTCCGACAAGCCCGCCACCACGCCAACCATGTTGATCACGAGCAGCGTCGTCGGGGGGATGAGAAGAGTCGTCCACTTGAAGGTGTAGAGCTCGGCAAAGTCTTCGTCCTCTGCGGCTTTGGTCGTGACCGTAAAGTTGGTGTCTATGCCCGCCAAAACCTTGAGCAGCCCCTGGAAGACGGCGAACAAGTGGGACGAGACGCCTCCAATAACCCAGAACTGTTCGTTTCGCCACCACTCGTCAATGCCGACCCCACTCCACCGAATCTCCAGGATACCAGTCGCGAAGATGGAGACAAAGAGAGAGATGAACCAAAGGCTGGCAAAGTTGCTTATCTGCACGTAAAAGCCAAGCACTTGAGACACATGAGAAAGGAGTGAAAGAGACGAATCTTACCGTCGGAATGATGAACTTGTTTGTGAGCAAGCAAATCGCCGGTAGAGTGCAATATGCCACCAAAGGTATGGACGTAAGGGGGTAGACTATTGTATTGATGTATGCCACCCGTTGTAGAAGTTTCAAGCCTCCACCATAGCCGTACCAGATAGGACAATGCCGACTGAGCATAATCTCCACTGACCCGAGAGCCCACCGCAGGACCTGGTGCAGCCGGTCGGACAGGTTGATTGGAGCAGATCCTTTAAAAGCTGGTCGAGCTGGCATGCAATAGATCGATTTCCAACCGCGAGCGTGCATTTTGAAGCCTGTTAGAATATCCTCCGTAACAGATCCATATATCCAGCCAATCTGAAAGGCAAAAAGGAAATCAGGGCTGTAGAGCCATTTAAAACACGAGAAACTCACCTCTTTCCCCCAGTCAGTTTTATCTTCGTATCCGCAGCTGATAACATGTATGGCCTCTTTTAAAAGTGAAGCTGGTGTTGCACTTTCAGGAACTCCTCCATTTTCCAGAAACGTTGAGGCGACAAATACTGGAGACTGGCCGAATCTTTTTTCAAAGTTCTTTTGAGACATCAACGATGATTTTTCATGGTTGTCATAACCTGTGACCACATGTTAACAGCGAAGTAGATAAATAAAATCAAATGCATACCTTCCAAGCCTTCCTCTATTCCCTCGAGACTGAATATCGGTATACTTGATTCGCTTCTGTTGGTTTTCTTGTCTGATTGTTTCGTTTTAGAGCCCTTTGATTTTTTGCGGGGACCACAACAGCCTCCTTTACCCTTTGCGTTCTGCTTGGGCGGCGGATCGTATCCATAAAGTGCTTGCCTCCTGAACATGCATCCCGTACCGACGTATACAGGCCCTTGAACTCCATCCAGACCTCTCAAGTTGATCTGCAATCGCATGAATAATCTTAGAAAACAAAAAGAGATGAACATTAACTACTGCTTACGTCGAAAAACACAGTATTGTGATTGGCGTATCGATCGTTCTTGTCAATGCCGTCGAACCTTTGAGGAAACTGAACGTAACAAACTCGTTTTCCTACAGTAGGATCCATCATGAAGCACATTCCTTCCCGCAATGCCTTGCTGTTGTTGATATAATGATCACAGTCAAGGTTCAGAAGGTAGGGAGCGTTTGTGAGGACAGCGGATACACGAACCTACACCAAGCCGGGTCAAAATTATCAATAAACACAACGAACAGACATACCAAAGAGTTCATAGCACCCGCTTTTTTGTGATGCTGAAACCCGGGCCTCTTTTCACGAGAAACATAGACGAGACGAGGCAATTCATTGCCTTCTGTGTCGTGGCCTCCACTATGCCCCAAGAAAACCTGCCATTTCGATATCAGTTTTAATCCTTTAATTCACAAGCTATACCTGTATCATTCCAGGGTGATCACGAATATTGTTTCCTGGCCAAGGCGTTCCGTCTTGCATTGTCCACCCCTCTTCTGGTATCTTCTGTGCTTTGGCCACCAAGGCATTCATCCGCACCTTGAATTCTTCGTATTCTCTCTGGTAGACCATATCGTGAGTTATTCCAAAAAAAATATGCGCTGGTAGATTACCTTCATAGCTCTCCGCTCTTTCACGAATGAAGGCTGAACTTTGTCCTTGAGGTAGTCAATTTTTTGAGCAAAGTACATCTCTGGTGCACGAGGCTCGATACTGAATTTCTTGCAAAACGGTACCCACTTTCGTGCAAATTCCGAAGTTTCAGATAATGCTTCGAAGGTGAGCATGGCAGCACCATCGTCAGAGACGAAGCAGGAGACTTTGTCCACGGGATAGTCAACGGCGAGTATGGACAAAACAGTGTTCGCTGTAACAATTGGTGGTTCTTTCATGGGATCCACTGTACTGACAAAAATGTCCACGGCACAAAGTTGAGACACCTCGCCTTCTCTATCATATCTGTAAGAAAAGAAAGATGACATCACAAGCATAAAAAAACAGTACCAGCGCAAGTCTGGTATATAGTTTTACCGCAGCGCAAGCCTATCAAGGTATGTCTCTCGATTGATAGGCAACCACTTGGGAAACTGGTCGAGAATCCATGAGATGGCAAACCAGACCTCGCAAATAATGGAGGTAAGCCATAGGCCATACGCATTCTTTACGGGGTTCAAGATTCGATAACGTAGAAAAAATGCCAGAACCACAAGACGGACAACAATAATCATCCGGTAAGGATTGATCTTACTGGAAGCAATCGGAATTTTTCTCGAGAGAGGCTGCCTGGACTCGTCCATTCTGCATGTAAGTACACGAGCACGTCAAAGAAACGCATCTAGGAAAGAAGCTCTTACATTGGCAGCTCTCCTTCATCTCCTCCTTTGCCATCATTGTAATGATGGTTTCCATCCGTTGTTGTTATGGACATCCTATCTTGCTTCAACTTCCAGCCTTCTAGCCTCTCTTTCCAGGCCACACTTCCATAACCGTAAGCTGAAGGGTCCTTCGTAGGGTCCATGGATCTTACTTGAACTAAAAAGCCATGACTTCAGACCAATCACGTAAAACACAAATATATATCCATACCATCGAGATCTGAGACCGGATGAATTCGTTTGCCCCCGGGCCCAACGCTAGGAACGACCAATGCATGGTGATCCGGAGGAATTTCGGTTGGATCGACGCCCTGCACGAGTGATTTAAGTAAAAAGAAATCGACAGTAACAAACACTTTTACCACTTGTCCATTTGTAAGGAGAGGGATTCCAGGCTGAATTGGCATGTCCGCTTCTTCACCATCTCCTCTCCCATACGTCATATGCGCGTGGAGCATAGCCTCGGCAAGATGCTGCTGGTCCATCTTATCATCCGACTCGTGAACGCTGAATTCATTGTCAAGATCATCTACGTCCTCCTCCTCATCATCGCCCTCGACCCGAGCGCTTCCTGAAGAGCAAATGGTCAAGGAAAGGAAAGACGCAGAGAGACAAGGAGAGCTTTACACACCTTTGAGTCGCTTATATCTCGTCTTGCACTGCGGGCAAGACTTGTTTCCATCCTTGCGCTCGTATTCGTAGCAGGGGCGGCAGACAGGGAATCCACATTCGTTACATGCGACGAATGTCTCGCCATCGACCGTCAATCCCACATCGTCGCCACAGATTTGGCAGGTCTCGCTCTTGCAATGGCTCAGGGGCTTCACCTGGGAACGAAGAAACAATGCGAGTCCATCAAAGATCCACCCAAATCGGAGATAGCGTAAGCATTTCGGAAAGAGAGAAAGATCATTACTCCGTCTCCGCGAATGACAACGAGCTCGTTGCGCTTGTGAGATCCCGCGACCAGCCCGGCGTTGGCCTCCATCGCTTCTTGGACCGCCGCCTAGACCGCGAGGGGGAAATCCATTGCCGCGCCGCTTCTGCAAGAAAGAAAGAAGACGCCGCGGGGCACTGGAATGAGAATTTCGCCCGATAATCAAAGATCCGCCATGGCTGACCTGCCGATCCTCGAGCAATCGCCTGAATTCGCCGAAAAGATTGTTAGATCGATGACGCCGCTGGGCGGGAGCTCGGGCGCCAGGGAAGAACAAACCCTTGCCGCATTCCCTCGCCCCTCACGCATTCACTCAAATGGAAGTCCTACCCCTGGGAAAACTCTCAAAGCCGGGGATATTCTCGCCTAGACACGGTGATGAGAACCGCGCGTCGCGGGGTTTTCTCTGCGCGTCGACGTCTACGTGCTATCAACCGCGTCGGCAAGGCGGGCCCACGCCAGAGGTGTTAAAGCCGCATGGTTCGGGACTAAATCGTGCGCTTTTGTCCCTTTTAACCGCCGTTATTTACCATCGGATGGTCCATCCGACGGGCCCGAGCACGGGCTCCGACACTGCCATGGTGAAACTTTAAATGCGAGGCAGATATCTCATTAAAGACCAAAACCATGTACCATATAGTTTATAGTCTATTGCGAGACAATATACAACGATATGGTTGGTCATATAAATCGATCAAAGTTTGTTACTCAGGAAGCTTTGCTTGTTTTTTATGTTGCGAGACGAGCAAGGCTCTTCATTCCGGTGCTGTGATATATATCGTTTGGTGGCCGATTGAACGTCTCACCACACGGCTCATAAAATCGCCCTCTTACACATCCAACCGATTCGTTCTTTCGTTGGTTCCACTTGGAAGCTACGAAATCTCCTGTAAAGTTGTTAGATTCGTGTCTTTGTATGGAAGCAGCTGGGCTGGGTCCACTTACACTTGATCACTGTTGCTGCTTAGAGTGTTTTCAAGGATAATCTTTTCTCTCGAGCGGCATCGTGTTTGATTGATCTGGAGCTTTTCCTGTCCACGACCGACTTGTTAAATGGCCGAGCCTGAGAGAGATACGCTGGAAGTTTGAAGATAATCACGCAACTCTCTGTCGTGGGCCGCTGCCAATTATTCGCTGTTGACATCCTGTTTTGCAGTGGCATTTGTAAAAGCTGGGATGAACGAGTACCTTAAGAGCGTTGTTTAGTGCAAGTCAAACGTCGTGACACTCTTCTGGCTGGCAACACATGTGAAAGTCTTCCTTTGCACGAACTGCTAGTGTGCTTTGGATCCACAAAACACGAACACGTCCTGTGGATGACCCGTTCAATCAACTCTAGAAGAAGAAGCTGCGGAAATCATCCCTGTAGCAACAAAAGCTTCGTCGTCAGGACGCGAGAAAAAAAAAAAGAAACGCCAAAGAAAGAAAATCCACAAGCAGTGATACCAAACGCACTCACTTGTAGTGGCTGACATAGGATCCAGCAAAATCAACACCACCTTTTCCTCCATTTTTCGTCGATTCCTGTTCCCGGTCTGCTGCTGGAAACTTGGTCCAGATCTCCGTGCTCCATATGTATGTACTGTGCCAGATTTTCATCCTCCCACTTGCTGGCGTGACTTCATCTCGGAGAAGAGCCTCGATGCTTCGTTGAGCTTGCTTGCTCGCTCGTAAATCCGGATCATTGTAAGGTAGAGCTCGTCCCCGTCGAGGCCTTCGAGTTTTAACGCCGCAAACATGTCCTCGGCCTCCCGAATCTTCCGAGCGTCACCGTACAGTTTGAGCATCTGGAAGTGGACTTCCTTTTCCAGCGTGCACCCCCGCTCGCGCATGTCCAGGTAGAGCTTCTCAGCGTCCTCGAGTTGACGGAGCTGGCCATAAGCTGCTAGCAGCACCACAGTCGTCTCCGAGTCGGGCAAGAAACCGCTCTCTCGCATGTTTTCGAAAACGTCGATTGCGTTCTTGCTCCTCTTGTTCCTCATGAAGAGCTGAATCATGGACTTGTATGTAACCGACTCTTTGATCTCTCCAGCCTCGTGTGATCGCCAGTAAAGCTTCGCTGCCTCCTCCAGTTTTTCTGCCTTGGCTAGGATGCTGATTGCTGTATCCCTTGGAACGATGTCCGGTTGCTTAAGTTCTTCGAGCAAACGCTTCGCATGAGCCACCAAGCCGGCCCTCTCGTACACCACGATCATTGACTGGTATAAAATCTCGTCCATCTCGAATCCCTTCTCCCTCAGCGTCTTGAAGAGGAATGCTGCTCTATCGTATTTTCCAGTCTTCCCGTATATGGATATCAAAGTCGAGTAAGTCACCGCATTTGGCTCTATCCCTCGCTGCTGCATCTTCCGGACGAGCCTCATGGCTTTCTCGTGTTGAAGCGTCAGTCCATGCAGGAAGAGTATCGTGTTGTAGGTGATGACATTCGGCTCCACACCTCCCTTGTTTTGCATGTAATAGAAAACGTTGAAAGCCTCCGACAGCAACTCGGCCTCTTTGTAAACTTTGATCATGGTGTTGTACGTGACGACGTTTTGTTGAATCCCCAGTGTCTTGCTCATGCTCCAGAAAAGCTCTTCCGCGTCTCTGACCATCTCCAGCTTCCCGTACACATCGATCATCATGTTGCAAGTCGTGACATCAAGTTGAATCCCCTTCGTCTTCATCTCGAGAAAAACTTGTTTGGCTTCCAGATATTTCTGGGACTCCGCGTAAGCGTTGATGAGAATAGTGTAGCTCACAGTATCCGGCATAAGCCCCGCCTCCTTCATCTCCGCTAGAAGACCCTGCGCTTCCTTGTAGAATTTTGCCTTCCCGTAGAGATTTATCATGGAGTTGTAGATCACCTTGTCAGGAGCGATCCCGGAAGCCTTGAGTTTCGAGAAGAGTGATGTTGCTTTAGAGTAGTCCTTGACTTTACCAGCGAGCTCGATCAATGTGCTGAAGATAACAAGGTCCGGTTTGATTCCTCCTGCTTCCATCTCTTGCAGCCATCCCATTGCATCTTCCAGCCGGTTCGCTCGTCCATACCCGCTGATAAGCGTCGAGAAAGTGAACTTATCCGGCACCAAGTCTTTCTCGACCATCTCAAGCACAAGGCCCTCGGCGAGCTCCCACTGTCTCGCTCGAAGAACGTTCTTGAGAACAACGTTGTAAGCAAAGATGGATGGAGCGTAGCCACCTTTCTCGATCATCCAGTCGTGTAGAGCCAGTGATCGCTGCCAGTCGTCTTGCATGTTTAGAATCGTCACCATGAGCTTCGGAGAGATCTTTCCTTTCCATGGCAGCATCGCGGCTTCAAGCTCCTCCATAGTAGCCGTGCCTCGAAGAGCTTTCATCACATCGTCAATGTTGATGAGACGATCTCCTTGAGGCAACTGGGAAGAACTGGAGCTCTGCGAAGATTTCGACCACTTCCATATGATGGACTGTGCTTGGTTCCATTTATCACTCGGAGAACTTGAGCGATTGCCTCTGCCAGACCATCGACTAGAAGGAGCACCCGACGGAGCATGGATTGACAAAGAAGAATTCGTTCCTTGCGCCTTTTCTAGCCTCGAAGAAAGAATAGCTCGAAAAGAATCGCCACTAACTTCTCTAGTGCTTTCCTCCAGCCTCTTAAGTTCCTCAAGCTCTGAGGTCGACAGCAGAAAACTATCGCCTCTCCCACCGCCGCCACTGTGCCTTAAATCAAATCCATCATCCACCCTATCGAAGCCCTCGGCATCGAAATCGGAGTCTACATTCTCTAGCTTACCTCCGCCGATTGGCGCGGATGAGCAAGGGCAGAGCACCGGAGGCGCAAGCAGCGCGATGCTGGTGGACAGCCGATCATATTTCCAGCGCCGCTCGCCGCCGCGATTTCCACGAGACCTAGGAAGCCCAAGGAAAGCAATGGAGTCACAGCAAGACGCCATTCCCCATCGTAATGGATAAACCCTAAACCCCACGATAAGTTTATTATATCTAAAGTATTTATAATCGAATGCTTGGAGCAAAAACGTGATCGAGTCTATCGCGTTTCCAACCTGATAAGCGTCGAGAAAGCTTAACGTTGATGAGACGATCAACTTGGGAAGATTTGGAGCTTTGCAAAGATTTCGACCACTTCCATATGATATCACTTAAAGAACTCTTTGCCAGACTATCGACTCCCGAGCATGGATTGAAAAAGATTTCTAACCTTGACAAAGAATACCTTGAAAAGCACTTTTTTCCCTTAAGTCCTCATATCTCTGCCGATGAGCAAGGGGTGAGCACTAGGTGGACATTTCCACCAGCACCGCTCACGGTGTTTTTTTTTTTTTTTTTTTTTTTCTCCCATCGAAATCTTTCTCTTATTAATTTACAAAAGAAAAAGGAATAAGAAGCAAACTAAGTGTTCTGGTGGACAGAACACTTAATTCACAGGACAGGACAGGACAACTGCACTCAGCTGCCATGATTTCCAAGGAATACTAATTAATTAATATATATTTATGTAATAAATAAAACACTAAGAAATTCAGAGTTAAGTATTTAGACCATTTAGCTAATAATTTTAATTAGAGAAAAGAAAATAATGGGGCTATCATTAAAATAGGTTTAAAAGCATAAAGAATTATAAAAAATAAAAAGTGTATTGCTTTAGTGTTTCTCTTTGTTTTTATCTCATGTTGATTCTGTTGCTGAGAAGCAAAATTGTCTGAGTGCCATGTGGATAGCAAGCTCAATAGCTTTGCAATGACTAAGAATTAGCATTTTTTAACCTTAAATTTAACCATCATAGAATTTTGCTCCATATTAAAGGTGAATCTTGGGAAATATCTACTTTGTATGAGATTGTACTCTTCATCACAAATCCTGAAAAATTTGGCTACTGTGACTATATTCTCAAAAATGGTTATAAGGATTACTTGGAGTTGTATCAATACTTTCTAATATCACTTGGTTTGCTTTTGTGTTATATATTCATTTGTGTTAGGGAAAATTTATAAATCCATCTTTCTTGAGGACAAGAAAGGTTTGGTCTGCAGGGTTATATTGAATTTTATGCTTTAAGATTTATTTTGACATTTATTTATTGAAAAGTAAAAATATGTGTAATGTTTGAAGGAGATTATAGTTAATTTTCTCAAAATAATTTTATTATTTTACAATACTTTATATTCTGGAAGTTTGATTGGAGGAGATAATGGAGAGTCTATATAAAATAGTATAGTCTAGGGGAGATGATGGGTGTGAAATAGCAAAATGGTTATAAAGTAATAAAGGAGTGTTGCTTTGGGTTCTCTTTGTTTCTCTCTCCTGTCACCAATCCTCATCAGGATCCATCAAGTTGCAAAATGCCTAAGACCATAACCACACCTCTAAATTTGTTAACAAATTTTCTTTCAACATCTTCATCAAGCTGTTTGTGGTTGCTAACCTAGACGTAGATATTGGTTGTGCTAGTTCTTTGTCATCGAATGCCTCTCTTTATGGCTCACGCTACAAACGTATCTCCCATCGAAGTTGGATTCACCCCTGCCTCTACAAGAGAGTGTGAGAAGCTATCGAACTCAATCTGATAAGCTTGTTCTGGCTTGTCAAGAATCTCAAACAGTGAACTGAAGAACGACTCAACTTTCAGCTTAACACCCTTGTCTTTTACCTCTAAACCAACAAAGTATTTAACACTTTCTGGTACACATCTGGTTCTGCCGCCACACTTGGATTTTCCTTAACCATTTCACGAAAATGCCTCTCGTTGGGTGACAGACAAAGAACATTCTGAAACACACAAATCTCACGTTTGTAGCCCAAACCCTTCATTGTGTCCATGGCTTCCAAAAGCTTGAATGAGAGCCCTCTCAAACGGATGAGCAAGTACTCTGGTGAAAGTCTCTTGATCATAGCAAATCTAGAGCGCAAAGCCAGCATCAATAAACCTTCGAACCATGCTGTTATTGCGCCTTTTCCCAATAAGCTTGTGGAAAACTGACACCTTTGTCAGTAGTAACGTCTTGTTATCAAGCAGCTCATCTGAAAAGAGTTCTTGACATTCTTAACCAAGCGCATGACCGTCTGAAAACACCCCAGGGAATGTCTAGGTGTTTGTTCTAAGGTAAACCCGCTGCCCACAGTGAGGACACGGAATGCTCAAGGTGGCTTGACGACGCTCTCTTGCTTCCCTCCGTACTCAAAGCCGCTCGTTCACACGATCTAGACTGCTTCGCCAAGGAACTCTTCGTCGAAGCATCCTTTATTCTTCTTCTTCACTTCCTTACATACGATAATCGACTGTTTTTTCCCTTGTGGACTTCCCTTCAAAATACTGATGTGGCTGCAAATAGAATATTCCCTCAGTTCTACATCACCCCCCACCTATTGAGCTCCGTCCCGGAGCACACAGCTCCACGGCAGCTTCATCTCGCTCATGGTACTTGCGCAGGCAAGCCCCATTAACACGAGTTGGTAACAAGTTCCTACTAAGATCTTCAAGCTGGACCGAGCCATTGGTAAAAACTTCAACGATGCGATATGGGCCAAGCCAGCGAATACGGAGTTTCCCATGCTATCATATAGCAGAACCTGATCACCAGCAGAAAAATTTTTAGCACGCAAATGACGATCGTACCAGACTTTGCGGTGCTTCTGAAGTGCTTCGCGAGCTTGGAAGGCGAGAAGTCGACGCTCGTCGAGTTGGAGAAGTGTGTCCAGTCGAGCTTGAAGAGTGTTGTCCCAGTCCAAGTTGTGCTCGACAGCCATACGGAGAGATGGAATCTCAAGCTCAAGTGGTAGGATGGCTTCTTGTCCATGAACGAGCTGGAACAGTGAAGCTTTGGTGGTGACCTTGTAAGCAACGCGGTACGCCCAGAGAGCATCCAACAAGCGTTGATCCCAATCTGTGCGAGAAGCACTGGCAAGCTTCGTGATAATGTCGCACAGTATCTTATTTGTGCGCTCCACCTGTCCGTTAGCACGAGGGTGATAGGGAGTGGACTTACGATGAGCAATGCCATACTTCTCCACCAAGGTTGCAATCACTTGATTGATAAAGTGAGTACCTCTATCACTCACCAGCTCCGAAGGGCAGCCAAATCTCGTGATGATGTTCTTGTAAAGAAAAGTCGCAACCTTGGCAGCTGTGTCTTCCCGGGCAGTGCACCAGTGAAAACACCCAGGGAATGTCTAGGTGTTTGTTCTAAGGTAAACCCGCTGCCCACAGTGAGGACACGGAATGCTCATGGTGGCTTGACGACGCTCTCTTGCTTCCCTCCGTACTCGAAGCCGCTCGTACACACGATCTAGAGCACTGCTTCGCCAAGGAACTCTTCGTCGAGGCATCTTTTATTCTTCTTCTTCACTCCTTACATACGATGATCGACTATTTTTTCCCCTCCCCACGTGGCGGCAAATGGAATATTCTCTCAGTTCTACACCGTCAACACCCGCAAGATCCATCTTTCCAAACCCGAAGTTATTACTCCAATTTGCTTTTGAGCACTCAAGCTGCATCACCTAGCACAGATCCAGCGTACGCAATCTCAGGCACCACTCTTACAGCTTCCAGAAGCTCCAGCTCGTCCGCCTTCCTCTTCTCTGCTGTCGCTGTCCCCTAGCCCTGCTAAATGCCCCCATCCATTGATAAACCTTTAGCACATGCTCCCATTGCAAGGAGTGCTTTCCGCATCTCCTTACATTGTTCTAGTTCATGAACAAGAAACTCAAATCCCGGTCAAAAACTGAGAATATCGAAAACAAAATAGTAGACGAAGACTTTGTTGCTCGGGGACCAACGCACAATCAAAATTATGGGACAGAATGGCTAGAGTTTGATAATCTCATGCTTTGCACCTGCGGAAAGGGGTGGAATTCCAGCTTATCCGAATGAGTGGAAGTGTCGAGGAACAGAAAAGAGAATGCAAGTAGTTTAGTCCGACAGTCATACCCAAAGAAGTGCTAGCATGATATTCTCTCCAAATAAACAGGAAGATAAAAATTATAGAGACACTAAATTCAGACAAATGAGACAGACCACTGAATGCTCAAACGAACCATTCTTGACGAAGTACTACCTCTCTCTACTGCCAAGAAGTGAACCCATTGCACTCAACCATCATATTCAACACTACACAGTGCACTCAAGGCTTCTTTTGCCTACACAGAGTCCCAGACACAAGATATCAACTGGGACCCAAGAAACACTCAATCCTGGCCATAAGAAGCAACAATGGTCAAGACTACGTTGCTCAATTCACTTACACATATTCTAGATATATTTCATCTGCCAGACATGAATCTCCACAAATACTGCTTCAGCTCCTACATAAATAACCAGTTCGGATGCCCTGCGTGTGCTTATAAACAGCCTGTAATGCAATGTAAATCAAGTACTAAAGATTGCAAGCCCCACCAAAAATGCACGCACCAGCTCACTTTTTTTTTCTAAGAAATAGAAAACTGCGTTACCCAGTCATCGCAGGAGACGAAGAAGTGATCGGAGCCACGGGTCAGGTTCCAAAACGGGTTCTTGCTGGCGATGAGATTGACGTAGTCCATGAAAGTGATGAGTGGAAGCATGCTGTGCGAGCCTGGAGCAACGCTATATGGAATGTGGGCCTCTTCGGACCGTTTTGGTTCATCTCGTGAATGAACCGCCCCTCGGAGGAGTAAATCCCCGTCAAAGGTTCCTTGTGGACGAGCCGAGGATCCCCTTCCTCGTATACGTACACTTTGTTACACTGACACCAGAGAGGAAACTCGTAGGACCATTAGAGAATAAAACAATGGCACGGGCGAGAGCGAGCGGAACAAACTCTACGTACAGGCACGAAAAGAAGAAAGAATGAACATACTTCTGGAATGCGCGGTCGATCGCTGTGCCTTAAATCGAATCCATCCTCCACCATATCGAAGCCCTCGGCCGAAATCGGAGTCTAAATTCTCTAGCCTTGCCGATGGATGGGCGC